TCAGGAAATGCCTTCTCTTTTCCTCAGACGATGACAAAAAAATGGCCAGATCATATCAGAAAGTCTGGCTTTGATGCTTAGTTACCATTGCAAAAATTTCATTACTTAAAGTTGTACCAAACTGCAAGCTGCACTGTAGGGCCTTAAACTAACACCTGGCATTGCAGCAGAGAGTATGTGCATCTGTTTGGCCTGGGTAGCTAGAACCAAAGCAAAGAGAATCAAAATACTATGATCTCCTCAGGTTTTTTTCTGTGCTTCTGCATTTAATGAGGCAGCTGATGGAAATCAGAGGTACGCTCTGCCCATTGCAACACCAGGATGAGGCCCTCAGTGATCTTAAATTCATCCTCTGGCTGCCCTTTCCTCAGTGACTAGAGTGAAATGAGGCAATAACCTTATTTGATTTGCACATGCCACAAAACTTTCTGCTGAGGTTAGAGACCTCTGTGCGGCTGATTTAAGCCTGCTGGCTCTGGGTTGGCTCTGTCTCCACACACGGAGGGGATGTTGCTGCTGTCCCATCCCCCCAGGCTGGGAACCACTGAAGTCATGTTAGAATGTTAGAAATCTGATGCTGATGGATTTAAAGGAGAAGCAATCTGTTCGTGCAGTATGAAAGGTACATATGTGAGCTAACAGTATGTTTGTACAGCTTTATTTTTTCCAATTCTGCAATGCAGTCTAAATATGGTATTTTGGGCCCAGTTCTTAATGAGATCCCACAAATGGCAGAGTACAGGCAACTCAGCAATGAGAACTAAAGCTGATCAAGTGAACTCTGCATAATTATGAGCTGAAAACTTTAAGAATACAACACATGATGCTCATATTCCAGTGGTGAGCACAGACTGATACCAGAGAGAGGCCACAGAGAGAAAACACTGTGCAGGGGACATGGGGCAGGCCTGAGCTATGTTCCAGAGTGGGAAGTGTTTGCATTTATGGGCTTGAACATTTGGTCTATTCGTGTAGCTGTTACAAGTGAGGTGGAATATATCTACAAGGCATCTTGAATTTCTTAGGAAAATGGTTTTCTGGGTATTGCTGAAATTTGTCTTTTGGCTGTCAGTAAGGCAAAAACCAAACATATTCAAAAGATTTTGGACAACATTTTCTTGGAATCTAGACAGTAAAATGGCCACTTTGTTGGGTTTGGATTTGACAGCCTGATATTGGCATTAGCCTGAAAATGTAATAATAATCTACTTTTCTTTGGCACAGTAATAATACTACAGCTGTGTATCTGCAGGTGATAATGTCCCTCTGTGGACAGGTGACACGCACACTTAGCAAAGCTGGGAGTCAAATGAACATCCAAAGGCTATTTAATCCCTAACTTAAAGCTTCATTTTGCTAACTGTTGCATCTGTAGCAACTTCCATGGAAGTCAGAAGGTTTAACTCATTATTTTAGTTTCCTTATCTTAAAATTGCTTTCAAATACATTTGATTATTTGTTGGTGGCCTTTAAAAATTATTTTATTTCTATAATTTCATGGAACTGTTCTTAAAGAAGAGACTGTATAAATGTTCTGATAAAGGTGTTACATTCAAAATTTTATGTATGGGTGAGGAAGGACCTTTATATATAAAGCCAAGATTTTATTATTAGTGTTAAATTTAAACAGTGTAATCCATTAATTATTAGTTGAGATCTAATCATTACAAAAAAGAATACTTTTGTGAGAAAGAAGTTTCAGTAGTACTAGTAGGAGTAATAATAATAATAATAATAATAATGTCTAAATTCTTATGCACACACTTCTCAGTTTCTATTGCTTTTCCTGATGTTTCATCCACCCTTCTTCTATTCCTGTGGTTCCTGAAATGGGCAGTTTCAGTCTGATGGGGTTCAGTGGGAGCGTTATGGCATGTCGTTGGCATCTGGAGTCCTTTGCTGGGAAGGATATGATCCCCATCATGATGGTTTCTTTTTTCTCATACTAAAAGCAGCTTGGGGATGTTTTTATATTTGATAACATGTTAAGACCTTGCTGTTTCCTCCTTGATCTGAAGCTCCACGTTACAGATAGGTTTTACAGGTAGTGTCTTATGTGAGATACTTCTTTGTTTTCCTTGTTACCCCTAAAAGTAGTTTTGCCCAGCCCAGATCTGCATTTCTTTAGCTGAATGCCAGTGAGTTGTTTATAGCTGTGAGGTCTGCAGCACCAGCCTGCATCCATCTCTCTAGTTATGGCCACACCATGTTAGAGTGCTCCAGTGTAATAAGGGCCATGATAAAATTCAGGCGTGCTTCATACAGTATGGGGCATATATGTAGAAAATGGTATTATCGGGTAGTACTCATCCAGATGAGAAAAAACTCTTTTTAATAAAAAACTCAGATGCAGAGACACAGACCAGTACAAAATTCTGCATGGTGGAATTTTATCTGTAAATCAGCAAAAGGCACAGTAGGAGCTTTGGGGCAAGGCAGAAACAGGAGGCCAGATTTATAGACCCGTGTTTACTTATAACTATGCAGAGTTCACACTTCTCCATTCATTTATTTTCAAGAATATGTAATGTATTTTTTCCTATTTATTCCTGGGTGAGAGTATGTATGAGTCGACAAGAGACACCAGTCCTGAGATGTATATTGCAAACAGTGAACTGAAAGTGTGCATGCATAAATTTTTTATCTCTGGGCATTTTTTGAATGCCTGCCCCCTGCAAGAGGATGTCTACAGATGCAGGGTAAGGGACAGCAGCTGGGCAGGTGTTACCAGGAGTGCATGTGTTGCATTAATGATAAGGCAAAATGAGAGCATCCTTATTCCTCTTACCTTCTACATCTGTAAATTGTCATTTTCTGCATTTCTGTGAACATTAAGAACTAGGTGAAGGGTGTCAGATTTTCTCCTTGCTTGCACTCCTGTTGATCCATTTAACTCATTATAACAAATAGTTAGCACAAATCAGCTGTTTGTGATCAGGCTGTGCTATTTCCAGATCATAAAACTCTTCCATTTCTCTTTTATTGCAGAAAATGTTGGAGAGCTTAGCAAGTCTCGGAAGTTAACTTACATGTAGTGATTAATCTTTAAGAGGTCATATATAGAATAGAATATCCCCAGTTGAAAGGGACTACTTCTGGCTCTGCACTGTACAACCCCAAGAATCACACCCTGTGTCTGACAGCATTGTCCAAACACTTCTTACTTCATCAGGCTGGTGCTGTGACCATTTCCCTGGGGAGCCAGTTCCAATGCTCAACCACCCTTTGGGGAGAAACCTTTTGAGGTATATAACATAAATCACCCTGACACAGTTTCAGGTCATTCCCTTGGGTTCTGTCACTGGTGACCACAGAGCAGAGATCAGTGTCTGCCCCTCCTCTTCCTCTCATGATGAAGTTGTAACTGCAATGAGCTCTCCGCTCAGTCTTCTCCAGGCTGAACAAGCCAAATGACCACAGTCACTCCTCACAGGGCTTCCCCTCAAGGTCCTTTGCCATCTTTGTTGTCTTCCTTTGGACACTTTCTAATAGCTTTATATCTGTCTTATATTATGGCCTCCAAAACTGCCCCCAGCACTCGAGGTGAGGAGCAGAGTATTGCAGGACAATCCCCTCCCTTCCCCAGCTGGCAATGCAGTGCCTGATGCACCCAGGACAGGGTTGGCCCTCCTGGCTGCCAGGGCACTGCTGACTCACATTCAACTTCCTATCGACCAGGACCCTCAGGTCCCTTTCTCCAGCACTGATTTCCGCTATTGCACTTCCCAGTCTGTTGGGAACAGACAGGGTTGCCTTATCCCAGCTGCACAATTTGGCACTTGGTTAAGCTTCGTACAGTTGGTGGTTGCCCAGCCCTCTGATTTGCCAAAGTCTCTCTACAGGACTTCTCTGCCTTTGAGGGAGTCAACAGCTCCTCCCAATTTAATAGATAATTCTTAGTTTTGAATATATATATATATATTACTCTGTAAGAAAACATTCTATCCTTACAAACCTGAAAATGAAATAATGGAATTGGTTCTCACGGGAAGACAGCTATGCTGGAATGGTTTTTATGTGAGAGAATCAGAAGTCACTCATAGAGTTCTTCACATTTTGGATTCCTTTATTTTATTTTTAGTAATTCAGGTGCTTGTGGCACTAGCTTGTAGTATACAAATCCAGGAGTGTGCACAGGAAGAGGGGCAGCATGTTTGTAACAGGAGATCATCAACAATCTGCAGTGCACAGAGTACTGACACTGGCAGTAATCATCCTGATTCTAGCAGTATTGCTTTCAGTTTGGACTCTAATGAGCCATGCTATCATACCCATTTTCAAGTGACTGATGGTGAGCACAGATAACCAAGTGAAAAATGCCTTTAAATGCAGCTCTTCCTCAGCTGGGGTACCACACACTACCAACATTTGCATAATGCTAGGCAAGAGCTTCCACATTTCCAGCATTACCTTGTCAGCTGAAATATGGCAGTGGGGAAAACTGTGCTTGGGTTGATTCAGGCAGATTATGCTGAAGTGCGTGCACTTGCAGTGATTGTTTATTTAAGTATATGAAGGCAAAATACAGAAAACACACTGTAAGTTGAACAAGTAGAATACAGATATATGTGGTATTTGAAAGGCTCAGGCCACCTTTGCCAATTTCATACCTGTAAACTGTTTGCCAAATTGCAAGTTACTAAGAGTAAGTAGCGTAACAAGGTTTTTATATAGGTATTCTTAGTGTTGTCAGGTTTTAAATAAGTATTCTTATCCTTTTTCTGTTTTGTACTATCAGCTGGTAAGGTGGGTTCAGTACTGTCATTCTGAAGTGAACTTTTATACCCATAATTACATGAAACTGAGGTAAAAATTATATTGTAATATCTAATATAAATAAGGTATTCTATTTCAAGTGGGTCAGTCAAATTTAAAGTAAGAAAATCCAATAATAGAGGCTTAAATATAGAACATTTCTGTTTTATTAATTTAAGCCATTTTAAAGGCAAAAATATACTGTGAAAGCTTACTTTTAGGCTCTTATTTTTCTTTTTTAACAGGACTGGGAGTTTCCACATTTTATGGGTGATGTTGAAGTGAATCTTCCAGGCTTGCCGTCAGCACACATGCAATTCAAAGTACCTTATTTCCAAAAGATACTGAAAGAGGAATATCACATACATATAACAGGTAGGTGATCTTACAGACTGTGACACAGTCACGCAGTGAACTGCATCTACGTAATAAATGTATGCTACTGTGGTCTTAAACCAATATTTTTTTGTGTTTGTCTCAGACTTTTCTTTATCTGTCCATATCCATATTCTCCATATATAACCATCTCCAGGAAATGAGGAACTTGTATCTTACAAATCAGAGAGGCCTGCTGTTTATCATGGATTTCGGCAACTTCTTTTGACATTAAGTAATACATAATGTAACTTCAGACATCTTTTATCTGAAATTACTCTCTCAGGGAAATTAGCAGCTTATTTCATCTTCAAATCTCTTATGCTTTCAGGTGCCTTTGCTGTGATTTATGCTAATATCTTTTCATAACTTCGGTCATTCTCATTTGGCAAAGGCCACTCATAACTGTGCTTCCATCAGTCATGTAACAAGAAGCAGACAGTTAAATAACCTCAAATAAAATAGAATTGCAGTTATTGAAATGGATGATACATATAGATAAAAAGTACCTGATTCTTGCATACTGTGAGTCAGTATTTTAATAACAGTAGGGAATGAAAAAGAGAAGGTGGTTAAATAGGGATAAATATTTTGGTTTTACCTTCAAGCTATACAAAAGGAGTATAGCTCCTCTCTCTACATTGAGAAGAGATGGATAATAATGGATAACAGAAGGATGCAGGTGTGAATTGGCAGGGGTCTTTAACTGCTAATATAAAAAGTCACAGCACATGATGCCACACAGAAATAAGATAGATGAGGGCAACCAAGGACAAGCCAAAAGAAAGTCCTGCAGACCAGGGACAAAAGGAGCATTCAGAGATGATACAATGGTAAGGCCAGGAGTTAGCAGGTGAGTCACAAGCTCAGCAGACAGCTGAAGCCAAGGGAAGAAAATGTGTCAGGAAAGAATGACACCAGCACTGAGCTGAGGCAGACTGAATAGGCCTCAGAAAAGGTGTTTTCAGCAGAGAATGAAGAAATGAGATTAAAAATTGGAAAAGAAGATAAAAATAGTGCAGAAGTTACCTGTTGGCTATTGACTGAGGGAAGGCAAATGGGCTAGTAGGAATTACAGATGGAGGGATAGAAAGTTTTTCAAAATTGAAGATAGGTGCCCTGCTGGAATGCTGACAGAGAACAGCCAGCTAACAAGAACAAAGAAGAGCTGTACATATCTGAGGGAGACCATTTGAGCCATTATGGTTTATGGAACAGGATAAAGTAAATGATGGCCAGTCAGTGACTAGAAGATGTAGGGTGAAAGGAGATGTTTTGTGTGCATGATGAACACATTTTTCTCTCCCAAGTGAGCAAAACGAGAAAGGGGCAGAAGGAAAAAAAATTAGATTGAGCATTAGATATTTTATTTGAATTACAGGTATGGAATTCAGAGAAAGCGAAAACATAATTTTTTCCCTTTATCTCAAGACTAGGGAGTAAATTTAGAGAGGCTCAGTCCCACAAGGTTCTCAGAGTACATTCTGTTATTTCATTGTATAAGGAAAAGTAGTGGAATGGATGCACAGAGGAGTAGGAAAAATGGCTGAGGCATGGTAGGTTGGGCTGTGTCATTAGATACAGAAACTTGGCATATAATTAATGGGTGATAGAAGAGGAATTGAAGAGCAAAGAACAGTTTTGCATTGTAGGAGAGACAGGGAGATAGATAATAATCAGGGATAATCAAAGAATAAACAAGAGCAAAGAACATAAATTAGTGATCAGAAATGCAATCACTTGCAATGCTGCTGTTTGAAAACAGGCCAACCAAATAAAACCAATATTTATGCATTGTAGTCTTCTGCAGAGAGGACTGGAGTCCTTTCTGATTTTCTAGTGAGAAGGCATTCTTTTAATGAGGATGAGATAATGAATGAAGGCTGAGGAAAATTTTTCCCTGCTCAGCATTAACAAGATACATTTATTAGATTCGCTAGACAAATCAATCCATTTGACTGCACATCACGTATCCTGTCTACTGAGAGCCTGTTTTATCTCAGTGCTACACCACCCTTTAGGAGATCTAATAAACAGCCATAACACATGGCACAAGAACCTCCCTTTGGGTAGGTTTTGCTTGAACCATCTGTTCTTGCCATCAGTTCTTGTCTTAGGTTAGGGCATCATGTTGGATAATTTGCAAGCTCTAGTGACTGTCTAGATGTGCAGATACTTGAATATTCTACTCAAATCAAGGTGTAGAATATTTGGAAAGAAAAATCTAGTTATATATATATATGAAATCAAGATTAATATAATCCAATCTGAAATGATGCCCGTGGATACAACTGCAGCTGGTGATATGGGAGTAGAACAATGATAACAACTGGGAGCCAGCTTTATTTAAGCCCTGTTTAATACAAAGAATCCAGAATGTTAAATTTAACCATAGGACTTATTTTAAATGACCATCAGGAAATGAATACTGAGGCCTGAAAAACATTTCTTTTAGTACTAGCTAAATAGATAAATCCAGCCTGTAAATCTGACCTGTGCTCTAATTCTTAGAAACTGAAAACCATTTTCTCCCAAGTAGCAAGAAGAAAGAAGGCATGGCTGAAATAACATTTGCCATCCTTTTCCTGGCAAAGTTTATTCTTTATTAGCTCTTACACAGTCTGTTTTAGTCACTTTTGATTGATATAACTAAAAGTATCCCTATTCAGTATTTTTTCAAATAAGCAATGGTACCACAAAGGCGCAGCTCTAAGGAAAGTGACATTCCAAGGAGTCAAGGATTTCAAGCCACCATTCTGTTGCTTTGTCCTTGATGGCTTTGAGCAAGTTCTGTACAGATGAAGAATTTCAGTTGCATGCTATGTGTTGCCAGATCTCCTGATTTTGTCACAAGTCTTAAGACAGTTGCTCTTTTTCTTTTTCTCTTTATCATTTTCTTCTTTTTTCTCACTTTTTAAAAATTATTTTATCTTAAAGACTTATCTCCTGAATACAGTAAGTAAATGAGAATTTCAGCTTTCATAAAATAAAGACCATGATTGCAGAGAAAAAAAATTTAAATTTGCTTCTGCATAATTCAGTGTCTAAAAAGGCAGAAAGATCCAACTCTATAAGGTATATTATTTTAACCCATGCTACTTTAAACTAATAACATGCTTTCTTAGTCCTGACTTGTGATTTCTGAATTATTTTGGCAGTAATAGTGAATTAACATCTCCTGAGTCTAGCTGATATGCTTTAGTGTAATTTTGAATTTGTTGTGAAAAGCTATCTTATTTTTACTGGTAACTGCGTACCTCATTTTACTCTCATTTCTTTGCAGCTAGGAACTCCTTGCAAAACTCCTTACTGAGTGTTAAATATTTTCATTCTATTTTGATAGCCACTTTTTTTAATAAACATTAAAAAAAACTTGAATTCCTGCATCTGCTTAGCTCATCTGGATTTCCCTTGACAGATGGTTCATTGCAAAGTGTGTGTTTTCCTTTTTAGGCTGATGTTTATGAAAATACATAGTCTATCCTAGTTTCTGTAATACCCAGGGAAATTTGTAAAACCTAAAAGTAAATTTTGTTACTTCAGCTTCTTTTGTGATTAAAAGACGGGGGGGGGGGAGGGGTCTGCCTTGTACCCTTTAACAACAGCACTGGAAATCCAACAGCATCTCCTCAAGTATGCAGATAATTTTCAAATTCAAATGTTACGATTTAGGTGTCAGAAGAGATGGGAGATTTCTCTGGTTGTTTCCAACATGTTTCTGAGGGCTCATCTGACCCAAGTACCCTTCCACCCAAAGGAGAAATCATCACCTTCATAGCTGGGGAGTTCCCAGTATGGCTGGCTTGTGGAGATGAACCAACAGCAGGTCTAGATTCAGCCCAAGCTTACCCAGAGTAGCCTGAGGGAGTCCTGAGGGCAAATATAGAAAGGTTAGAGGTAAAACCAAAGCTGTCTGTGCACACAGATGTGGAAAAACCTCAGAGGATTAACATCTTACATCAGCTGTGAGTGGTCTGTCTGTATGCATGTATCTAGCTAATAGCACTAATGTGACAGAAGATAGCAAGAACGTTTCAAATGTTTTACAGCAGTGTCTGAGTGGCTTTAGACACAAATTACAGTTGAGATAGAAGTCTAAAGCCAACATTTCCTACACTAGCCTCTGGCTGTGGTTGCACAGCATGAGGCTGCTTCTGTCTAGCCTTATTAAGTGGAATTTTCACATTATCTCCTGACCTCACTAAGGTTCCTGAGGACTAGCTTCTACATGAGATCCTTTTGTTGGGAAATGAATGGTCTGTTCCAGAGTGGGCACACAAAAATAAAACTGCTCCAGAATCAGCAGCTGGTTTCGAATATTGGGATATATTCCAAATGTTGTGTGGAGGATTGCCCAAAAATCTTGTCCTATGGTGAAAGCATGTGAATTTCTGGAAAAAGGAAAAATAAAAATCTATACTTCTTTCAAAATGAGAAGACCCCTGGCATTAATGTGCTGTGCAGTTGTTGAGCTTCAGCAGTGGAAGGAGACTGTTTCTAAGCAGAGCTCTGTACAGGCTGGTGTTCAGAGCATGGTTTTATGATGCAGGTCCAAGCTGCCCCAAGTGGAGGTTATTGTAGAGTCAATTCACCCTTCTGGTGAGTATTCTAGCCAGGAGGATACAATCCTTTTCAACAGACATGCTTTCTCAGAAAGCAAGAGTGAATTTTCATCCCCAAATACTGGTTGTAGTCTACAGTGCCTAGAAAAACATTTCACGTTTGCATCACAGCCTGACAAGGACACTAGCACTCTTGGGTCCAATTTTTCTTTTGGAGAATCTTTGTTGCATCAAATTGCAGTATTTTTCCATGTTTCCAAATACACCAAATCAGATTCCTAACTCTCCAAATGCTATGTGCAGCATGTAAAATGTCAGTGCTGAGAAAGTGATCAAGTTTTTAACCAAATTGCTTTTCAGATGGTGAATGACAACCTATTTTCCCACATGACTTTTTCATTGTTAACTTCATTGAAGACTGGATAAAATTCTTTGCAGTTTTCCAAAATGATTGACTAGCCTTCCAGTCTTGAGAGTTGATCCTATTACATCCTTCCGTTTCAGATTTTGTCTCTGAATAAACATAATAAACCCCTTTCCATCCAAGAAGGGCTAAGTGGGGTTAGGTATATGCCAGTATTCTTGGTCACACAAATTCCATTGAAGTAGAGCCAACCCTAAAGCAGCAGTGATACTAATCCTACAGAAACTGGGTAAGAGACAAGTTAAATGACTTCATAATGTGGGACTCCTTTTTCCCTTGTCACTTTTAAACTGGAATAAAACTTGACATTTTAAAAAATAAAATTAATATCTATACCTTCATAATATATTTATTATGATCCTTTGCAAACTTACAAACTTGAATTTGTTCATGCTCAAGACCAAAGGTTGTGATTGACTTTTAATTTACCTAGCTTATTTCCTATATAAACTTGATATATGCCTCAAAGTTTGCTATGAAAAAGGTTGTGCTAAAATTAAGTTGCAGCAGACAATAATTTCATATAAATATATTATAAACATTTAAGTTATAATGTTAAAGATCAGTCAATGTATTAAATCTCTGTGTAACCACATATGAGTACAATGATATCTTTATGCTCCAAAACATCACAGATCTAGAAAGATGGCTTAGTTGGCTTATTTGGCTGTCATGCCTGCTAGTACAGCAATGAATACCTGTCTTGGAGAGGGATAGATGGCAGAGAGCATGGTATTCTAGAAATAGGTAAACACTTTCTGTGAGTACCCAAGACAGCACTAACTCAGTCATTTTGTTTCTAAGGAGATTAATGCAGCCCTTGGCTAAAGGGATTTCTGAGTAGGAGCAGAGAGATGTCACTGTGTTCATGTATGGTTATAGTGAGACTGTTACTCATACACACCCTTTGGTTCTGGTGACAACTGTATTCAAAAGGAAAGGAAAAGTCACACAGCTCATCAAGCATAAATGATGCAGAGGGTGAAAAAATTGTCTGGAATGAGAAATTTAAGGATTTTTGAGAAAATCCACTAGAGAACAGCAGCTGTTCTTAGTCAGCTTGCTGCCATTTAGACATACAGGTGGCAGTTCATCTTCACTAAACAGGGTGATGGACCTAAGTGGTTTGTATGGCCCACATGGGCCCAACAATCACAGCAGCTGAGCTCAGGGCTTTGTCTCTGCCTGCCTAGCTCTGACTAGGAACTGAGTGAGGGAGTTTCAAGTTCATACTTTCTATGAAACAGGAACAGTGTATCTTTCTATCAAACACTCAGCATCAAATGACTTCTGAACCCATGGCCATTTTCAAAACATTTTCAGACAGTAAGAATATGAAAACCAGTGATATTATCACTGTGTCGTAAGAAATGGTGGTAAGGTAAAGAAAAGTAATCTAATTGCCCAATTGAGGAAGAAACAAGAAGTCAGCTCTTATATTCTGCTTGACAACAGCTATTGATCAGTGAATCTTGTGTCTTTGCATTGAAAGACAGATGTGATGGGAAAAATAGAAACATGAAATGCATGGAAAACATCCACAGGAAACATCAAGTTACATTGTATTATTTGTTATATTATTTCATACTTTAGCATCAATTTCAGTCTCTTGGTGTTGATTTAAAAAATTAAATATTATGAAATGTGGTTTTAAGTCTGCAAAGATAGTTTTCTTTAACACATCAATTATAAAATTGACAAAATCACAGGGAGAAATCATAGAGTGGTTTCAGTTGGAGGGAACCCTAAGGGACATTTGGTTCCAGACTTCTGATGTGAGCAGGTATACCTTCCTGTACACTGCTTTGCTCAAAGCCCCATCCAACTTGACTTTGATAGAGGAGTTATTCAGGAATTATAGGATTGTCTGCAAAACCTTTTCAGTTCAGTTTTGTTTCCGAACAGCAACGACTGTTCAATACAAGAGAATAACAAGAGAATAAATATTCTTGTTTATTTTCATTCTATTTAATCTGAACTGAAGAGAACCATTAAACATAACTCCTGAATACATGAAGTTAGTCTCCTAACCCTCCTGAAGAATTCTGATTGTACAGTTTGAACACACATACTTTCAGGAATTGGAATCCACTAATTCTGTGCAAGTCACTAGCCTAGGTAATTTGATAGATCCTATGATACATTTTCTTTTTCACTTGAAGCATACTTAAATATGATTTCAGCAAAGACCATAATCATGCATCACCAGCAGGAACATTCATCCATATATGTATTTTCATTAATGCTGACATGTAGATTTGCCAGGTTCTTGGGTGATGGCTGTCATCACTGCACAGGTGAGATCTTAACATATGTCTAAATTGAATGTAAGATATGCTTTGACTGTGAAAATAGTATAATTTGTTATGTGTATTCATAGACAGATTATTAAAAAAGCTAAGCCAAGCTGGCTAGACTCAGAAGTCTACAATCAGCCCTTGCTATTCCTCAATAATCTCACTGTGATTCTATAAATCAGTTTGTCTGATTAACTGTACCTGAATATATCTGCACTCCATGGTTGGTATATCAAACAACATAAGTATATACTCTTGAAATTCATATAACTACCAACCTCAAAAACCTCATTCACTTCAGTAATTTCTGGAATATAAATGGTTCTGTCAAATATGGCCTTTTTATGGAAAGTTTCCATGTGAATATTTTTAAAGCCGTGGAATTAGTGCTTTTTCTAGGTTTATTGATCTGTAACACATCACCTAGCTATGTTATACTCCTGAGCTTCAGTTACAAAATTTTTTTGTGTCCAGACCTAATTGTGAAATACTAAGGGATATTCCGCATAAATCTGACTGTGGTGGAAATTTATTTACAACTTTGCTTTACAGATTAATAAAAAAGAACTTTTTTTTTTCTCTATCTTTTATGTGTAATGGCATTTGTATTGCTTCTAAAATGGATATATCAGATGACAGAACTTTCTTTTTCCAAACAGGCAAATGGTTTAACTATGGAATTATCTTCCTTGTTTTAATCTTGGATCTGAATATGTGGAAGAACCAAATATTTTACAAACCTCATGAATATGGTCAATATATCGGTCCTGGACAGAAGATCTACACAGTGAAGGACTCAGAGAGCTTGAAAGACCTCAACAGAACTAAGTTATCTTGGGAGTGGAGATCCAATAACACTAACCCACTGACGAACCGGACCTATGCCGAAGGGGACATGTTCTTGCACAGCAGGTTCACAGGCTCCAGCCTTGATGTCAAATGCCTGGCTTTTATTCCAAGTTTGCTGGCTTTTGCTTTGTTTGGTTTCTTCATCTGGTTCTTTGGGCGATTTCAGAAAACTGACCAAGGCATGGAGAATTTAGACAAATCGTACACAAGAATGAAACGAAAGTCACCATCAGATATGGGAATGACACGAGAAAATACACAGGTGTTAGAAGAACCATTGAATTTTCAAGAACCACACCTGGTATCCATAAAATCAGACTTAAGCGAAATAGTTTTTAACTCTTCTCTTCTAACTTCTGAAAACTTGAACGCACAACTGAATGAACAAGACAGCCCTTTACAGCCAGTACCAGAGCCCTCTGTCCCTAAGAATAATCCTGTGACATAGAGGAAAATACCCAGGAAAATCAGTTTAAATAAGCAGTTACTCTAAGATTGCAGTTTTACCTTTTCTAAGTTAAGATTTACATAGTGTTTAGAATAAGAAACTCAACCTATGCCAAGAGGTGCTCAGCATGCTTTTTCTAGGAATTTTGGTTTTTATTTGTATTATAGTACGTGCCTATTGTATATCTAACATTCCTTTATAGATTGCTTCCCAAAATTGCACAAGCTATTTATTAATACATTACCTTAACTGTATAATAGTGTATTAGATGATTACTTGCAGGTATAAAATTCTACCGTGGTGGTGCCTTGAGACATTAAACAGTTTTTTAACTCAACACCAGGTGTATAGCACAGTTCTTCTCATCTGTTTTGCAAAGCTTTTTGTATATGGTTGTTTCAAGTGTCATTTGATGTCTTGACAGAGGAGATAAACATAGTTATAAAGAAGCTTTTCTGTTAGGATACCACAACTTGACTTTGTTATTTACTCATCTGTGAAGTCAGAGATTTTGATGACCGGACTGCAGAGAAGCATGTTGATTACCTTTTAATTTTTCTGGCTAGCTGCCAAACACAAATACAGATTTATTATGCAGTAAACAGCAGAGACATAATACAGCATGGGTCACTAGTTGTGAAAATATGAGTTTCTCCATCAGTAATAGCAATTATGTGATAATGCCTAATTATGTTTTTCTTAATTAAAGATAAACTGCTCCTTGATTTAAAGTTTTACCCTTCAACTTTTAGAAACAGAGGTGAAAATTCATGGTTGAAGCAACTCTTTCCATCATCACACCAACCCCATGCAGCATCAAAGAACCAAAGGAGTGATTGCAGTAAAGGACACAAAGCCCATTAAATCCAGTATTTTTGCAATTCAGTGCAGATATGGTCTGGGTATATAAGAAACATACATAGAAACATACTGCTTATAGTCTAATTTCTCCACATACTGAAGAAATGTTGAAGGGTTTTAATTAAAATAAATTGATAGCTAAATTTTATTGCAACTTTTTTTTTTTTTTTCCCTTCATTTGTTATCCATGACTATTCATAACTTGGATTCAGAAACAGGGGGTAACTGGGCCTTGTGCTTTTTTGAAGGGGACTTCTTAATGTGAATTTCTCTCCTGTATGATCAAACTATATGCACCAGAGAAATTGCATATATACAACATCAGAAAGACTCTGATTTGCTTCTATTTCAGTTCTATAAAATTGTTGTTACAAGTTACCAAATAATAAGTCATTTTTAAGACTGAATTATTTCCCTGTCACTTTCTGGTGTTGCTGTATTTTGTCTTTGTGACTTTTTTATCTCTGTTGGTTTTGATCTATTTGCTTTTAAGTTTCCAGAATGCTGAATTTAGCATGCATAATAGAACTATGCATTTATTAACTGTCACTTGAGAGCCAATTTTAATAAACATCATTCAACAATTGTTTATTATGAAGCAGGAACACACTCTGTCAGTTTTGCAATTTTTCAAACCATTTTACCCATGTATTGCCCTATTTCAATTGATAAATATTTCTGACGCTAAAAAAGACAGCATCACACTGATATAAAAATCTAATATTTTGTTTATGAATATTTAATATTTTATCAGGGAAATTAATTTCATAATCATACTAATTTTTTATCAATTACAAATTATGGCTAAACCCAAATTTATTTGCTTTTGCCTACTGCAACCTCTAAACTTGTTTAATTGACTTACAATATAATCAAAGACAAGCCATTAATAAGTAATGATAAAACAGCGTGAGATCCTGCTTGTACTATATAAGAGGTGATATACTGGCGTATGACATTCAAACAGCATTTGATTTCTTAAGTAGTTACAGAAATAGCTGTTTAATTTTGCAGATACATGCTTCTCTGTATGTTTTGGAGACTAAACCCAAGTACTGAAAATCTCTCGTTAACTCATTTCTCTATTTGTGCGGAGTAGTAGTTAAATACATGAATATGTAGGCAGAAAAATGAAATAATTACTTGAGCTTTACAGCCTGCATGATTTCTTGACTCTGATGAAACTGTTATTAAGCAACTGATTTCACAGCTAAAATAATTCCTTGACCTTATATTGAGTAAATGCTTTTAAGGTCATTATAAGCCTTCATGAAAGAGAGAAAAGCATCAAGTAATCCTGGATTTTGCATGAGTATTTAAATTAATGGCCAAGCATAGAGACTGCTTATATCGTGAATTTGTAAGAGGTTTAAAGATTCAGTGTAACCACTCACCGTGGTCAACTCATCTATCTAATTAATGGAGAAAGGACTTCTCAGTCATGTAGGAGTCTCATTTGTAATCACGGACATAGATGGAAGAAGAAAGCAGTATAATTTCGTTGTCCACTTCCAGTGTTAAGGTTGAGAAGTCTGAGCTAAGTGCTTGCCCCAAGCACCTTATGAAACAGGCAGGGACTTAGGAGCTGAACATCCTAATGTTTCAGTACCTAACAGTCATTTATCTCTGCATTACTGAGTAGTGCAGCCCAGCAAGAACAGGTTTGTGGAGCTGGTGCTGAGGACCCAGTGACCATTGTTTGTGCATTTCAGGGGTTTACATCAGTTTAGCTCTTTGGTCCTGATAGAGTGAATGAAGGACAGTGGCTGGGTACATCCAGAGACCCTGAGTAGAAGGACCTCTCAAGGTCTGAGCTGGAGGAGAGTCAGCCAGCACCATCACAACTTTACTCCTGAGCTTAGCTGCTAATGCAGAGTCATTCTGAGTCTTCTTACCAAAATGCAAATATTTCTCCTGCAAGCACATTCATTGTTGTCAACTGTTGTTCACTTTTAACATTCTGAAATGCTTTGCTAACTCAAAACAGTCTGAACTGCTTTCTAGTCTAGTACCCATAACTGGGACCTCAATATGAAAATTTGACCTTCTCCTGAAAAAAACCCATAGGAGGAGAGAAACTTGGGGAAGTGTCAGTATTTTCACAAGCAACACATCTCCATTCTACCCTCTATAATGAACCATCTAGCAGCTGCCATCACTGCAGGGCTGGCCAGTGTCTGCTTTGACAAAGATCAGATTTGGTACCTCTTTTTTTTATTTTTACCATAAATACATTGTACAGTGATGGATGATAGAAACCACCTGATATAGTATATATATATAGAAGATACATCTCTAGGATAAGCACATAAGATTTATGAGCCCACAGGTGCCCATAAATTGTCTTAGTGTTCTCAACAATTACCTTTACTGAGATGGAAATGACACGAAGCAAATAGAAGGTAAGAATTTTTGTAGAAAGTACCTTAAATATAATATTCATGCTTATGGAAGTATATAGATATCTTCAAAAACCACATATATAAAATGCATATGTGTATGTACATTAGGAGCCCAGGGGTTAGTTGATTTTGTTGGGAAAACTGCTGAGTTTCTCAAGGCAATTTACTACTGCCCTTTTCATGCTACATTGCTCCATCAGTTACTTATTCCAGGTTATTTCATCTCCTCTGCCTCTACTTATTTTGCAGAGAAAATATAAGACCAAAGAAAGATTATTTAATTGCACTGTCTGTGTCCCCAAGTTATTACTTTGTCAAATTTATTTGGAAACTAATTTTTTTCTGGTTTAAAATATTTCTTTCTTTCCAGCTAGTGTCATTGTACTTTGGGCTACTGTACTGTATTACAGTATGTGCTAAATTATTGTTTTTTCTGCACTGAACAGCATCCATCATGACAACCACCTGGGAACAAAGAGCAGACACCTCACAAAGACTGGGAAGTTAGCAAATCAGCTCCTTAGTAGACTGGCAAGCTCATTTTCCCACAAGTGAACAGGTTATGGCTCACTAGTAAAAGATGTAATAGATTTTTAATACACTGGCACTAATTTTAACAACCTTCTAGAAGGGGCCCAGTGGGAGAGGACTTTTTATCTTAGCCTACAAATCTGAAGCAGTTACATCCTGCAAGCAGAGGTAAAGGTTTCACTTTTTAGGGTGCATTTAAAAGTAACCAGCTTAAACTTTGAGCAGATTGCAAGAACCATAAAAATTAGACAACACTGTGAGTAAGAACATGAAGGTGATTCACTTTGTGCCTCCTGGCACAGAATGGAGACAAAACACTTTTGACAGATGTTTGAGTGGCCCTGTGCTTGGGATTATGGGTATTGACATGCAAAGATTCAAACAGCATTTATTAACAAACAGTTGCAGTACCTTTATCAACAGAGGTGCTACTGCCAGCACCAGACAGACCAGCTCTTCTGTCATACTCTTTCTGTCCTGTCCATCCATGCTAACTTATAAATGACAAAGGAGCTGCTCCTCTCCCTGTGCATTCAAAACTGTCCAGTGGGGAGTCTGGGCTACCTGAGTGTGCTGTGGCATGTTATTGCAATGTCTAATATACAGCTCCAAGAAGGACAACCAAGGGCAGGCAAAAGGGGGGAGTCTGGTCCGTCAGTTTTATGGCCTTGAGGTGGAGAATGTCACTTACGTGACCATTTCAGAAGGAAATCAATATAAATAGAAGTCCTGTTTCATTGGAATAAAAAGGGACAAATGGAGAGACAGGAAATCACTAGAAATCTTTTCCATCCTCTTCAGATATTCAAACAGAAGCAGCAAGTCCCTGTTTCAAATGTTCACAAACAGTTCCCAGCTTCCAGATGACTTCTGGGTGAGTAGCTCTTCTGGATAACTAGGTTTTAACACCATCATAATTCCCTCCTAACACTTTCTGTGCATGGGGGATGTCAGCAGCTTTTCACTGTTTGGGGGAATGGAGTAGTTTTCTGAAAAGGAAGTGGGAAAGAAATTGTAAGGGACATGCTCCATGAGGCTGGTACTCTTCACAGCAAACTCCTTCTTGGAGAAAGGAAAAGCATGAATCCAGCTGCTTTGCAAAGAGGAGTGAAGTAGCAAAATCAAATCCTTTCAGAAATATATCTTATATCAGCAGCACAGTCACAGAGATACTTCTAATGCCATGCTTTTCCTTTAATGTGTAGCATTGGGGTGTTCACAAGAGCAGCTTATCTGATTCTAGCAGGCAGGTTACAGACCCGGCTCTCATGCTGTTTGTGACATCTGCAATACTTCATATTGAATTCCTTCTTGTCTTCATTTTTCTCTTGTTTTCTCCACTAAAAGTCCATTTCATTTCATTCCTGTGTTTTTATTTCCAATAAACTTTTATTGTAAGTGACCTAAATGGCGAGTTACCCTCCAAAGGCCCAAAATTGCTGTTATTGATTTGGTACCGTCTGTATCCCTCTCCCTCCCCTTCAATAGGGATAAACATCGGTGGTGACTGCTCTGAGACACTGCATGCCTTGCTGACCTTTCCTTTGAGAGCTCTGAGGACACATAAAGGCACTTGATGTGCTGGTGGCTATTAGGTCTTTTGGTCAACAAAATACATACTCAGACATGGTTAGAGTTTCAGTATTTAATTGTTCACAGAATCACTTGCTGAAAGCAGGTATAGCTTGAGCCACCACCAGTTAGAATTAGAATATTCCAAAACTGCAGTTGCTCCAGCTGCTCCAGATGTTTGAGGACTTTTGCAAGGTTCATTCCCTGTCGGCTGTGGCAGCATTGCTGAGAATGCATGTGTGACTTTAGTGTCAACCAATGATAGAACAAGTAGAGATAATTTCCAGTAATCATTGTTTCCATGTTTCCATGGTTACTGGAGAATTTTCTATTTTTGCTTCATGAAACTATAAAAAAAACAGAATGTCTTCCAAATCTTTGCAAGGTTAAAGTTAAATTATGAGTAGACAATCTAGCCATTTTTGCTTCATTGCAACCTTCTTACTCCCTTTTCACCCTTTCCATCAATTTTGACCTGCTGATCCACAGCAAAGCTATGCCTCAAAAATAATCCCAAAGGGGAGAGCAATCAAATTCTTTTCTGTGCAGTCCTGGAGAGACTTCAGACATCATTAATTCAAATTTTTTTTAAAAAAATTTAAAATATTGATTCTAAGCTCTAAAGAGTTTTGTATTTATATAAAAAACTGTTAAAGCAGATGCAGCAGAAGTTGGCAGTAACCTCCTGCTCCATTTTAGTAGCAAGTCTGCCTACAAGGGCCAATATAATTATTTGTTGAACCTGTCAGCTACAGATAGGTTTAGGGTGTAGTATTTTAATGAAACCTCCATAGAAATATGTGTTGCTGCACTTGAAAAATTGAGTGGGTTTTTTTCAGTTTTCAAGCCCAGGTGATACATCTATCACCTAAGAGAGCACTGTGATAGGTCCTTAGTTAGCAACCAGTCTGTACCACCAGGTTCTTGAAAGTCGTGCAGGACCATTCGAAGATAGAAGCTCAGCTCTGTGTGAGCTATATGGCTATTTTTGGTCACTGCTCCTGAACAGTGTAGCCCTGCTGCTCTGAGGAGTGTCACAAAGACACAGTGTAATACTGATCTGACTAGACTTCAAAGGTGTCTGCTCATTTGGATGTACTTTTGTGCCTTTCAAAGTGCACATGGAGGAATAAATACATGCAGCCAAAATGTCCCTCCTGGCGTTTCTAAGGCTCCAGCTTCACATCACAGAAATACCCACCAACTTTTTGAAGAAGTTAACTAGTAAGTTTACAAGACCTTTCCTAGAGATCTCTCCCCATCTTCTGTGGTCACTGGAAACTGTATTTTACTAAAACTACTCACTCATTGTATTGCACTTGTAATGGCACCACTGTCACCTATAAGTCTCTCAGACAAATATAACTACAGAGATTGGAAAGTAACTGCTTGAAGGCTTTGCAATGCAAAAGAAATGCAAAAGTAGAGCGGAAAATTAAAAGGCTAAGACATGAAATTATTTACTCGATTTCATACATGACAGGTATCCCCTGACTGCATATTTTATTAGGACTTTGGTCTTTCTAGTTTGTTATTGTCAAATGTTTTCTTTGCTCCATGTGATTCACATATACATGGACATGGCATGAAATATCCCAGGGACAGAATTAGGTGTATTTCACCCTTGCGTAAATTTCAGCTGGAGAAATTAGCTTTTTGAAATCAGAAGGCAGTTTTTTTAGCATCAGATCCCCATTGTCTCATGCCATAATACTGCCTCAGGGTAGCCGCCACTGGAAACGGAAATACCTCACCCCTTCCTCAACAGCCTTTTGGAATTTCCCTCAGAAGAAACCTGTCTGCTTTCAGATACTGTGATCTGGAAAACAGACTTCAACGCTGCTTCAAGTAACAGCAAGTAACATGCAAAGTTACAAGGCCACTCTTTTATCCCCTCAAATGGTGACATCCTATTGTTCCTTTGCAAATGATATTGTGCAAAAAGGAAGTAGTTAAATTCCTTTTCATAGTAATAGCAAATGCCAGCATTTTTATAATGGAAACTTCAAAATTTATACTGGATTGTGTTTTCCTTCAACTCTATCAAGTGTCACTGTGAAGCAAGGCTCGGAGTTCAAAAGACAAGCAACAAAAACTATTCTGTTAACATCTTCCTGTCATGTATGCTGTGAATGCATTAATTTTTTCTTGAATGATGAAACAGAGAGCCCTGTAAAACAACAATATATTTGTAATGGGATTCTGCACCTACAGTCTTGGTACACAGTCTTGTCTCAGATCTGAAATCTGCCAGTATCAGATTAGAGAGAAGATGAGGGGAGACATTCGCCCCGTGAGAGCACACGTGAGCAGCAGAAGGTGACAAGTACTGTGCTACATCTCTGCCTGCACACAGCAAGGCTGGAGTGTTTTGCCAATCAAGGTCAATCTGTGCAGATGGAGGGAATGGTGAAAGGCAGGTGGTGGGATAAGCGCTTTTAAACACATGTATCTGCTGGCAGCTTTATCATCCAGACTTAAGATTTTCTTCCTCCTAGTTGCTTGAGCCAAAACATTACTTTGAGTAATATTGGGGAGTGCTAGACTGCTAGAATTTTGTCCTGCTAACTGAATTTTTTTGCAGATTAATTCAAAGATGCCTTGAGTTTTAATAATATAAACTGGATATTCTTGTTGAGAGAAAAGCCTGGATATTTTTTCCTCATATCTTAGGAGGAAAAGCAACAGATAGCATAGCCACATTTTCAGTGTTCTAACTCTGAAGAAAAAAAGTGCCTAAAACAATCTAAAAGGGAGGAAACACATCAGCCTCTTAGATAACTGTAATATAAAAAAAGTCATGTTCTCTATTCTGACAGTTTGTAGAAACCTGAGGGGCTTACATCACACAGCACAAAGTTATTTCAGCATTGTTCTTGTTTTTGCAGAAGGAATTACTTTGAACTGTGAGCAGATTCGCAATTTAATTTTGAAAAAAATGAACGTTCGCACCCCCAGAATGATCTGCAGCTGGGACTGGTGTGAGTGGTCTGGTTTGCACCCCCAGCACAGTCTGGAGATTTATAGAAAAAGAAGAAATTTCTCAGTCCTCACTGCAGGTGTGGCCTGAGAAGTCAGCTTTGCGTGGAGAGCTTATGTAGGTCCTGTGGTGCAAAAGGATTTTCAGATACTGATTGCATTCTGCGTACAGCTTTGATCACACTTTCTCTGACTTGTTTTGCATCACCTCTTTGAATTGTGCCTGCTGTCTAATCAATGATTAACTTCCTACACAGATCATTGGACTCCAGAGGATGGCGGCCTTAAGCAATGTCCCTGCATTCACCCTAGATACAAAGGGGCACTTGTGTTTCCTGACTCCCTTTGACTGGGGGATGTGAGCCCCATTACAGAGAAGCATCTCCTCACAAACCCCCTGAAACCATGCCACAGAACTGATTGCAGCATAGAAAGTTTCTGAGCAGCTGCGTGGGTTGGAAGGTGCTCCTGGGAGTCAGCTCCTGGAGGCACCACCACATGCTTGGTTTTCAGCAGCACTGGGAACTTCAGTCACACTGGAAAAATTAAGTCAATTGCAGATAATTGAATGCATTTTCTAATTCAAAAAGTGTTGCACCTTGCATATCCCAGCAAGGGAGATGATGGCTCAGCCATGGAGAAAGTGCCAAGGGGATGCTGGTAGGAGTGACTTGAGGAGCAACCTTTCTATGAAGGACATGAGGGATTTCCTGGGGTGTCACTGATGCTTCACAGCAGTGCTTGGAGAGTTTCAAACTGCCTACAGTGTTGGGAGCTCCCACTTCTGGTTTGCTCTGACTGGGAGGTTTTTCCTGGTGATGAGCATGGTAGTACTGAAACTCTTCCTTTTCTCAATCTAATTAGCCTAGAGATGTTACCAGTCATATTCCATGACTTTCAGGAGTCAGTTCCTTGAGCAGTCTTTATCTCACAGACAGACCAAACTGAATTTCTTGTGCAGTGTCATGGCTTACCAGGATTAGAAAGTAATATGTCAGCAGGCACCTGCATCCAAGCATGTACCCTTCTTAGAGAGACATCAGATGTGACACAAGTAGGGCGTGTAGGAGGATCAAACACCAGACAGTAACAGGCTACCAAGAGAATTTCAGCAGCTGAGTGTCTAAAGCAGCAATCTGTTCAAACAGCAGTGAGGGGCACAGAGTATTCAGGGTAAGAAGGGTCAGATCCATGATTTCTTTAATGTTTTAAAATGGCTTTCTTGGACTTTTTAGAGCACTTCTACAGACAAGTAAGATGTAATCAATGCTGGAAATGGAGGAAATGGACTGAGTTACAGTAGTAAAAATCTGTTATAAAAATGTACTGCATTGGCATGTCTTGATGGACGTGGGTGCTCAACCCTTTTGAGAACATGAATATATATGTAGGTGGAAAAATACAGGTTTGAAATTTAACTGAAAAGATTGTGAACTGAGATGTTTTACGGGTATCTATTCTTATAATGAAAAAAATTATTTTTCCAACTCAGCCTTTCTCCCTCTTTTCTGTCAGAATTGTGACATCTGGTAGCCTACAGGAAGCATCAGCACGCTGCAGTACAATGCTGCTAAGACCCCAATGCATGTGTAAGGGGAAAATGACCTTTGGATGAGGTAGAGCTTCCAAGTTGGAGAAGAAATGAAGTCTGACCACTGCATTTTTAGCTCAAAAGTGTGGTTGCCGCATATTGGCACAGTCTAACTTCACCTACTGCTACCCTAGTCTAGGGTAGCAACCACTTATGACCTGTGGACTAAATTTCAGGAGACCCTAAATTCCCAGCAGACCCTGTGTTCCCTGTGTGACGCTCAACAGGTTCAGGGAGAGGTAGTTTCATTCACTCTGGGTGATATGTGGGAAAACCAGCAAAATTCTCAGGAGGCTCAATAACAAACTTTTACTTGAAAACTTTAGACCATTAAGGTAGAATAAGGTACCTGGCAAATTTTAAAACAGTCTCCAGACTGTAAGGCACTTCACAAACTTTAACTCAGCAAACTTAAACTTAACCAACTTTAACCTTACTCATACACAACAAGGAATTGACTGAAGCTTTTTTTTACTCTGGTTTACAATATTTTGAGAAGTTAGGAGAAGAAAGAGAGAAGGAAAGAGAAAGGAAGGAAAGAAAGAAAGAGAAAGGAAGGAAAAGAGTAGAAAGATGCTACTACTCATGGATCCAGTGATGAGGCTTGATTGTTGAAATTTAGATGTCCCTTCATCAAAGCAATGATTGCAATCTTGGTCCAATAGAGGTTGGGGAAAGTCTGTGAAACAAAGAGCTCAGTGGGTTAATATGTGTTCGGGCATAGGTGGGAATGCCCATATACCTCCCCTGTGGGGGGAATTTTACACTCTCTGATGCAATACTGTGGATCATGACAGGCCTCTGATGGAAGGCCCCAAGAAACAAGAGTGCTTTGGGGGTCTTTGATGGATTATGACACTTTCTAAGACATTACAGCTGCCTCTCACATTATTATTGCTAACCGGTTAAGCCCCCTCAAAAGGGATGAATACCTTCAGACCCATGTGTAAATGTCCTAGTACTTCCCCAGAGGGAACTTTTCATACCTGAGCCAGTTGTGTAAGGGAGGACATGA